CCCCCCCCCCCCCCACATGCATCAGTGAGCCTTGGCCGCCCATGACCCTGTCACCTGTTCACTGCTTTTCCTTCCCTGGACCACTTTAGGTAGGTCCTGACCACTGCAGACTGGGAACATCCCACAAGAGCTGCAGTTTTGTAGTTGCTCTGATCCAGTCGTATAGGCATCACAATTTCGCCCTTGTCAAAGTCACTCAAATCCTTACACCTGCCCATTTTTTTCTGCTCCCAACACATCAACTTCGGTGATGAAATGTTCACTTGCTGCCTAACATACCCCACCTACTTCCAGGTGCCATTTTAACCAGATAATCAATGTTGTTCTCTTCACCCGTCAGTGGTCGTAATGTTATGGCTGATCGGTGTATCTTTAGAGCTACCCATAGCCTGCAAGTGTGGGTTTTTTACACTTATTTTGTTTGGGTTTCTGGTGGCCCAGTTGTATGCAAATTTAGGCATTCAATATTCTAAGGGCCTGTTCACACTATCCAATGCATTCACGGCACGGTTTCCGGCCTTGACAGCATTGGTTTGCATAAGCAAAGCCTCCCTGAGAAAGTTGTCTCTCTTGTCTCGCGTTCTGCTCGGTGGGTGGGGTTTCAACAGCCAGCAGCAGGCTGGTGTTTGAAACCCCGCCCACTGAGCAGAGGAGTAGACCGGTTAGAGAATATTCTCTTTCACGTCCGCTTTTCTGCTCAATGGGTGGGCACAATAGCCAGCCTGCTATAAGATGTTTGTAGTGTGCACCAAGCAAACGACAATTTTGTAATGTATCTTAAGCCGGACCCATTTACATTTTTTTTTTTGCTGGTTGCTTGAATGGGGGATAATGGGGTGTTTCCTGTAATGCAGTGCTACAGAACATTGTCAGAGACTGTTACGATAATGATGGATATGGTGAGAGCAGCACATTTTTCTGCATGTTCACACATGCGACTAGTGTGTATGGGTGCTTAATTCTGTTTAATAAGCAGTAGCTTGTATTTACTTTACAAATTTGAGGAACTTCATTTTGATGCAAGCAAAATTTGGACTATAATTTAGTGTATTTTGGTAAATTCTGTGCATGATTCTGTTGATTTTTACTAAGTATTTATTTTGTAAACTGCTAACAGCTAACCACTTACTCCTACAAGTATTTTATTTTTTATTTTTAATGAATCTGATTGCAACAATGAAGTCAATATATGCCTTCCTGTAACAGATAATTGACAGGGCAGATTATATCACCGCATGGCATTCCCTTCAAGCTGGAAGTTAATTATTCCCATGGGTCTCTATATATGGTTACAGCTGACAAAATGCCTTATAGATGATGATTTGACTGTTAGTGTCGCGTTACCACATTTTTGGAGACTGAAGAAAATGCTAAAGTTGACAACTTTTTCAATAATCGATTATAATCGATTATGTCGATTAGTTGTTGCAGCCCTAGCTGGGATGCTTGTTGCATAAGGATAGGCCCCAAAACAAAGGATATACTAGATTTTGTTTGCAGAAAAAAAAAGCTGGATCGCAGGGCAGAATTCATGACGTGGTCTATAACAAACAGTAGCTACGATTTTTTCTTTAAGAGGACTTGCTTTGTAATATTTTCCAAATATGTGTTTTGAAAAATGTTCACTAATATAAATACTTTTATCAAAGCGTGTTAATAGTTTCAAACCTTTTTTTTAAAAATATGTATGGTTTATAATGATAAAGGTACATGGTGACTGTCACGTTTGCTTGTTAGATATGCAGGATCTACTTCTTGTTGATCTGTTGCCCATTTAGCCTTCTGTTAAGTCTTTTTGATTAACTCTGTAATTCAGCCGCAATGCACATGGTAGCCAGAGACCTTGCCATCTATGGCTGTGTACTGTCATAATATACAGTAGCTCGGGGCAGTGTTTTTTTTATTTATTTATTTTTTTAATTTATTCAGTGCAAGAAAGAGCTACTGTTTCTCAAAAATGCGTTTACAATGCTGACATGTGGCCTTTTGATTCAAGTAAAGTGGGATTTTTTAAATAATTAGTACATTTGCCCTTGTCTAATCACACGAAACAGACTGTGAATTTGGTCAGTTATGAAATCCAAGACAAGATCATATGTCTTGTGTAGGAACATACTGAAACTTTGACCACCATATAGCACACAAGAGTTAGATATCTAAGCCCTTTGCTGACTGGTCCACTATTATTAACATCAGGAAGAAAGGTGGACAGCTAAGGTAGAACTGGCAAAATCTCAGTAAACAGGTATCTTATGCTCTTTAAAATTTACAGCTCTCGCATAACTTTTGAGCTTTTCTCCATTGTTGCCAATGGAGCAGACTCCTAAAAAAATATCCACCCCTGAACTTTGGTGATGAAAACCTTCACTTTGCTAGTGACTTTTGCTTTCTCTCTAAGGTATTGAAAGGCAAAAGACCTATAGGAAGAGGCAAAGAAGCAGACTTGAAATTGTAACCCCAAAAAAATCAAGGTCTTGCAAGTGGGCGTTTGGACCAACTGCAGGGAAACAGAGAGAAAATCTGGTCTGCTGCTTGGTTTGTAAAATTAATGAAGGTTGCCACTGAAAACATTGTCAGAATTAATAAACCTAAAGCATCAAGACTAACAGAAGAACAAAGCTGGAGCTCTTTGTCTAAAAAAATAATAATTATAAAACATACCTTCAACTGACTGTTGGCATTAGGTGTCTAGAAGTTATTTACATTGCTGAAATATGGTTAATGATCAACTAGCCAATGATCAGAGAAATGATTAAAGATGACAAAAGTGGCGTTATTTAGGCCACACCCTCCTGGGAAGCTAAGTGACCCTTCAGGGCAAGCAGTTGTTTGGACTCCTCATGACTACAAAAAGTAAAACCAAGAGAGACCAAATATTGTACCAGTAAAGGTGCCCATACACCTTACAACCATCGCAAGACTTTTTTCTTGCGATGGTCGTAAGCTTATTAAAAGCTTGTAAGATCTGCCCATCTTGGACAGGCAGATCGTACCTGCGATCATCAAAAGCCCGCCCCGCCGAGTGGCGGGCTTCCGATGACCGCAGTGTGGTTTTCAAGCCTTCTTGTTCGACGGAAGACGTACGACCGTACAGTAGAAACGGTTGCACGCCTTCATACACTGTACGATTATCGTACGATCGCAGGGTTTCCCGCAATTCTTGTACGAGAATCGTACAGTGTATGGGCACCTTAAGAGATAGACACAGAAGATGGGGATGTCCTGAAAGAATGTGAAAGTACTTTCAAGGACTAGAATCCGGAAAAGGCTTTGTAGCTACTTTATTCTTCATATTGCGAAGGAAGTAAGTAAAAAATTGCACCAGTTATCCTAAGCTAGTGTTGTGTTAGGTTTAGCTGGTTATTGTTTCCATGGGCCACACCTGAGTCCACTCTGCCCAGGAGATTTCCATACTACTATAAAAGTGAAAAGCTAGCAGA